GTACTCGTCAGTAGTTTGTCATTCTAGTACTCGTCAGAGGTTTGTCATTCTAGTACTCGTCAGTAGTTTGTCATTCTAGTACTCGTCAGTAGTTTGTCATTCTAGTAGTCGTCAGTAGCTTGTCATTCTAGTAGTCGTCAGTAGTTTGTCATTCTAGTACTCGTCAGTAGCTTGTCATTCTAGTACTCGTCAGTAGCTTGTCATTCTAGTACTCGTCAGTAGTTTGTCATTCTAGTACTCGTCAGAGGTTTGTCATTCTAGTACTCGTCAGAGGTTTGTCATTCTAGTACTCGTCAGAGGTTTGTCATTCTAGTACTCGTCAGAGGTTTGTCATTCTAGTACTCGTCAGTAGCTTGTCATTCTAGTACTTGTCAGTAGTTTGTCATTCTAGTAGTCGTCAGTAGTTTGTCATTCTAGTACTCGTCAGTAGTTTGTCATTCTAGTACTCGTCAGAAGTTTGTCATTCTAGTACTTGTCAGTAGTTTGTCATTCTAGTACTCGTCAGTAGTTTGTCATTCTAGTACTCGTCAGTAGTTTGTCATTCTAGTACTCGTCAGTAGCTTGTCATTCTAGTAGTCGTCAGTAGCTTGTCATTCTAGTAGTCGTCAGTAGTTTGTCATTCTAGTACTCGTCAGTAGCTTGTCATTCTAGTACTCGTCAGTAGTTTGTCATTCTAGTACTCGTCAGTAGCTTGTCATTCTAGTACTCGTCAGTAGCTTGTCATTCTAGTACTCGTCAGAGGTTTGTCATTCTAGTACTCGTCAGTAGTTTGTCATTCTAGTACTCGTCAGTAGCTTGTCATTCTAGTACTCGTCAGTAGCTTGTCATTCTAGTACTCGTCAGAGGTTTGTCATTCTAGTACTCGTCAGAAGTTTGTCATTCTAGTACTCGTTTGTGGTACTAAATACCGAACAGACAACCAAGAAAAGTCAAGTGGTTATAAATTTTCTAAAAGTCACATAGGTACCACTCATAATTACTTTTAATTAGGGGTCAAGTTCTGATAAGGTATGGATGTTTTTGCCGATTCATCAATGTAAAATGATTGATTTCTTTGTAAACATAATCACCGCCTCTAGATCTCAGAACGACGCAGTATCTACTTTAATCTATCACAGACTGGCGTGTCGACTTGTCGGTTTTTTCCTGAAGCAAATTACATCTGATGTGTAACTGGGACGTTGTTTTTTTGATAAATAGAATCAATATTGAAAAAAAGCACAACTTTAGTTTTTCCAGTCTATTCTTCATCATTCTTTATGTTGAAGATTTAAACTTCATTTTTATGACTGTGCATGATTTCAATCTGAAAGACGAGGATCAATGATAGCATTAAAGTCGGTATATCAGTCACACCATTCTACAATCAGACCAGGCGTCAATCTATCCATCAAGTCACATATGTATTGTTCTGAGCGATTTATTGATCTAACTATCATACTCTGATTAGGCGTCCAAGCCAACAGTTGTGTCAACAAGGAGGGTCGTAAAATAAAACCCTCATCAATTACCTCGACGAAAGTGAACGAGTTGGATATACAAGCGGAGTTACAGACCTATCCTTCATTTACATCGGCAGTGAAATAGACAATTAGTGGAGAAAAGGTTTCCACTTTAATTGATCTGAAAGTTAAACTCAAAACAAACTACAAAAACAAAAAGGAAAATACCGACATGCCAACAGAATCTTATCTAAAACTAAGATTCGACAAAACCATGGTAACATATAAAACCATGGCAACATATAAACAATGGCAAAATATAAACCATGGCAACATATAAACCATGGCAACATATAAAACCATGACAAAATATAAAACCATGGCAACATATAAAACCATGACAAAATATAAACCATGGCAACATATAAACCATGGCAACATATAAAACCATGGCAACATATAAAACCATGACAAAATATAAACCATGGCAATATATAAAACCATGACAAAATATAAACCATGGCAACATATAAACCATGACAACATATAAAACCATGATAAATATAAACCATGGCAACATATAAACCATGGCAACATTTAAAACCATGACAAAATATAAAACCATGGCAACATATAAAACCATGACAAAATATAAACCATGGCAACATATAAACCATGGCAACATATAAAACCATGGCAACATATAAAACCATGACAAAATATAAACCATGGCAACATATAAACCATGGCAACATATAAAACCATGGCAACATATAAACCATGGCAACATATAAAACCATGACAAAATATAAAACCATGGCAACATATAAAACCATGGCAACATATTTACAAAGGGAAGATTTACACCGACCATTGAAAAAGTATCAGGAGATAAAGTAAGAATAGCATAGATATGGAAATTAACTTTGGAATTTGTTTTGAATTCTATTAAACAATTCCTATTGTATACATTGAAGTACTTGAGTGATGATGCTACTTCACAATAAAAGCACTTTTTGTTTTATATATCTAACATGATATGTTATTGGTATATCTTTGAGACGCAATAAATATAATTAAGAAATCAATAAAATTTAATCAAACAAATAGATTAGAACTCTGAATTTCCAATCAACTTCATTTCGTTTTGTCAAGAATAACATCAGTTTGCAATTTTGGAATTATCTACTTTAAGTTCTGGCGCATGAACATAGTAAGGAAGTTGATATTGCCACTCAAGCGACAGGGCTCATCAAAAATCGACCAAATTCACGCGATGTCGTCTGTAGGCACAGCTGTTAGCTAATGTTGATCAATAAATGAAAGGGATGCAGATATTTCACACCGATGACTTTGTGGGAAATGATGTTATATAAAGCAATCACAATATATATTTCTACGTAGGTGTACACCAGAACCAGTGCAAGTTACGCCTACTTGGCACGCCATGGACTTTGATAAATTTTTTGACGTTATGAAACTTTTATCTATGATGGCTTATACCTGACATTTCGTCTATTTGCTTTTACGCGAAAAAAACCGAGCGAAAAAAAGGTCAACATGAAAAAATTCTTAAGTGTGGTAAAAGACTACGTTTTAACTTAACGCTCTGACGTCATATTACCTCGATTTTGTGTCTTTTCGCGAGCAACAAAGCGAAAAAGACAAAATGTTAGGTATAAGCCTCCATAGTTATCATTATTACACAAGCTTTGGAAGTCAATAATCCAATCCAGTAATATTTCTTGATTCAGGTGTGACGTCATTATAACATGTTGATGATAATCGTAAATAAAAACGCACAAAGTATATGCGGAGATTAATCATTTGTGAACCACGTTGAGGCAGCTAGATTGCTGTGAACTGTAAATAAGGATATCGAAGTATTATTTTTATCCAATTCAGGAATCTGCGTGAAGAAATAGTGTGTGTATGTGACGTCACACCTGCTGGTTAAATAAGCAGGTTATATTAACAGTCCTTTATTTATACAGGGCATATAGTTTGACGTTTATTAGTGTATCATAAAGTGACACCGTGTTACCATCCACACAAACGGACCACGATCACAAGGCCTTTAATATCAACATATATCCAACGCTTACAGACATTACTCACCCACCCTTGTCAAGTCACTGAAATACATTTTGACTGTAGAAATAAAAAACTAAAGAAATGCATAACAATCACTGTATATCACCATATCAACCTATTGCTTGATATGTCTAGTGACACTATCAGAAGTGTACTGTGTCATAAACACGTGACATTTTATCGGAAGTGCCAAAGATACCATGGATATTAAAGAAATTTATTTGTTTTAAGCATACATCGGTGTCTGTTATAGCTTTTCGTAGACCCGTGTAAAACTTTCATTAATGAAAGAGTTATGTATTTTATTCTCCAAGGTCAGAAACTAGTGTGTAATATCATATTTCATTTACATGTTTACAATGAAATCATAGTGGCAAAAACCTTATAACAATGAGTGTAGATCTGGTCAATGTTACCACTGATATCAGACAGGAATAGATTTCCTTCCTTATCTTTTTTATTATGATTAAATCAAAGTAGATTGATATCTGATATTCTGTAATAACATTACTTCTGTAACGTGTGTAAAAATCTACAAAATAAAAGAATATCACACCATATATACAGTATCATCAGCAAGGTAATTTACACAACGGTGGAATTCTGTCAACAACATTCGTCAATGCCAACAAGACCTGTTTTGCCAATACAGCTGAGTGCGTTGTTTGATGTGTGGACTATTCTGGGTTTATCTCTAGAGAAGGAGGTGTGACAAAGCTTGGCAGCACGTATACGTTGTGTAAAGATAACGGTGTGCCTATTGTAAAAGGCACAGGTCACAACAGTACAGGGATCACCAGATCGATGAAGAAAGTGTAAACGAAACATCTCTTCAAGGATCCTTCGTGAGGAGTTAGAGTGGTTCACAGTAAACACTGCCAGGATGTTGTGAAAATCATATGGTGGAATTTATGTCTATTCTTTTATTATCAAAATAACTGATTACATAACTTAAGCATACATCTATGAGACTATGTCACCTTGAACAGGTACAAAGTGGTTTCATTTATCAGAGCATAATTGCCATCTAGTACAAGAACCTCTTAGCGTGTTGCCAATACATACAACCGGGATTCGTTACTAAGAGGCGTTAATTGACCTATGAGTACTCGGCGGGGAAACTGTGGTGGATTAGTGATGGTTCACATCACACGGAAACATCGTTAATGGTAACACTAATGGAAGAAATGTTGAAAAAACGTGTACACTAATACTGCTATCACTACAGTGGACATACATAAAACGGATGTGTTATACTAACGTGTCTATTTACAAGTAGTTGATCAGAAATTACTCTTATGTATGATAATACCAAATGATAAATTTTACTGGAAAACCGATCTCTCAGGCTAAAATAGGATAGGATTTACTACAGTTAGAAACCAGATATTCTTTGTCAAAATGGAAAAATTATTCCACAGGAAAGCTGTATTCGAACACAAATTGTTTACATGCTAACGAGTCATGTCGACAACGGATTGTAATCGGACTGTCAGTGTAGACTGTCAACAAGATGCAAACGTAGGTCTCTCCTTGATGGCATTGTGTCTTGGGGTGATTTTAGCTCTGTCTGTTGCAGCAAACGGAATGGTTTGTTTTGTTTTTTACAGGAAGTCAAATCTCCTAAGCATATCCAACAGTTTTGTGCTGAACCTTTCCTGCTCGGAGCTAGGTAAGATGTGTACTGTACTTTACATTGTTTATGATGGTTTTTGATATGAAGTTCTTTGTATACACATAGCCAGGAAAACGTAATATATCCCACCGTTTAAGTTGCTAAATACACTTTGTAGGCCCTTTTAAAGATAATGATTTCCTGTCACATAATCAAACGTTTATCATTTTAATTCCAATGTGTAATTTAATGCCAAAAACTATACAGACAGTTTCTTAGTATGTTATGTATTTGACAATTGGCTAGTTTCAAGTAATGACCACATATTAAAACTTAGTTTATAATCATCTTATAAGATACAAGGAAAAATTATCTAACGTGGCACATGTAAAAAATCATTAGATATAGTACTGTTTTAGCGAAAAACATAATTGAATCCCTCCCTCCCCCCCCCCCCCCCCCCCCCCAAAAAAAAAGAATATATATATATATATGAGAACAATAATCAGAAACACGATGTGCATTTACGTGTAAAGCATGAGCGCTTTCATGTATTAATCTTCAGACGCTTTACATCATGTACTGTCAGCCTGACAGTCTGACATGTTGCTTTTAAGTAGTTTTAATGTCTAACATCAGTAGTTTAACTTGTAATTATAAAGGTAATTTGAAGATGTCACATCATCGCTGTTATAAAAAGCACATCAACTGTTAAAAGTGAGCTCTCTTCGCCTTTAATTACCCAGAGAAATTATGGGTTGGCAAGTCAATGTTAATTTCCTTTAATTATACACGAGAGCTTAGAAACTATACAAACATACGAAGACCATACCAATGACCTACCACTATAATTAAACACAAGAGCTTAGAAACTATACAAACATACGAAGACCATACCAATGACCTATCTCTATGTTATGTTGTAAATTAAACATATTACATAATATTGATAACTGATTTATAATTCTACATTTACCGGGATGTATTTATGTAACAAATACAACTCACATAGTCCTATATATCCCAAGATAAACGTCATATACATTCAAAGATATTGATTTTCACAGATAAGTGAAGACCAAGTTGGTAAACCGTATCATTTAAATCTATTAATAGGAATGTGAATATATATAGGGCGATGATATTAAAATACATGGAAACATTTATATAATATGCCTATCATGAAGACTCTATATTTAGGCGCGTCTAATTGTCTTAAATACTTAGCTGGACAGGTTCATTTACATAACAAACTACAGGATGTATTTCAGGAAAGGCTTATTTTTGATGTCGACTTGTTTTCGAGTTTCAGGGTATTTTGTCAATACTTTATATTTTGATATTTTTGAATTCAAATTCTTTAATAGTTATGTTCTGTATTATACATGATTTTTGTTTATATTTCCAGCACTGTCCATCCTCGTGTTGCCTTTCACATTGACGTCCGTCTTCTCCTCGTCAGGTTGGGTATTTAACGACATTTGGTGTAAAATTCAGGGATTTATCTTCAGTGTTTGTGTGTTCTCAATACAGTTTTCCTTGATGATTATCTCCCTTGACAGGAATTATGCGATCATAAACTCACTCCGCTATGTGAATGTGTTTACTCAGAAACTAGCCAACATCCTCATAGGACTGTGTTGGTTGTTGAGCATAGTGTTAGCGTCTCTTCTATTGCTGAACTGGGGGACTTACGACTACATACCCAGCCAATACACTTGTGCAATAAACTGGGAAGAATCAAACGAATTCCTCATCTCCGTATGTATAATCGTTTTCCTTCTCCCACTCAGTATCCAGTCTATATGTTATCTCAGCATATTTAAAGCAGCCATTAGCCACACAAAGCGATCTAGTCGCGTGTATCCATCGATGCCAAGTTCAATCCGTGGAATTACAACTACAGTCCAGGATCTGCAAAGTGATTCGTCAGACATCAGTGACGTTTCACAAAATGTCCAAGTAAAATATCAAACTATGGAATGTAAGGCTGTACGCACTATCCTGTTAATTGCTTTTACGTATGCGATTTGCTGGGTTCCATATATTACTGTTTCGATTTTGAGGCTAAGGTCAGTCACCATAGTCTCGTCTAGTGATTCGGCGGCTGTCTGCTTCGTTTTTCTAACAGGAGTAATTAATCCAGTAATATATGTATTTATGAATAGAGTGATGCGGTTCGAGATAAATAAGTTTTTCTGTGGGCCTACCACGAGGGAATCGAGAAAATCAAGCACGTGCGATGAAAACGACGATTTCTATTCAACGACAACGATGAGTTTATCGGTACCAAAGACGACAACAACATCATCCTCATCGAGCTCTTGTCAGACTAGATCCAGTGGAGGGAAGAGTAGGAGGATTGAGATGAAAACCATAAAAGAGGAGGAATTAGAACTAGGAAACGTATTGAAACCTGTTCAACTTCCCTCCAAACATCAAATGTCACCTGAAAAAATTAGAAAAGATTTCGAAGACAAGACCAGTAAACAGTCGGAATTGTATTTAAATCCTTCTGATCTATATCTTCAGAGAAGACGGATACGGATGAAACATGCACGTCTAATGTCTATAAGGGAGGAAGCGACGATACCCGCTGGGGATAATTCATCAAGCTGGCAGTGTCTGGAGGATTTGGACATGGTCTGGAGTCCAGCTGTTATCAATGAGTCTCCGGTTCAGTATAAACGGCGGCGATCACGTGCTAACTCTCTAGGGCTTCAGAAAGACGAAACATTTTCTAAAAGACGGCGAGATAGTGGATCATTTCTATACTTTGAACACTGTAGTCCAAGCAAACTGCAACATGGGCAGAATCGTCGTTCGGGGCGTGGCCTTTCAGTTGACGAAGCATTTATGAAATTCGACAATGTTCCACGAAGAAAGCAATACAGACATCACAGCCTTTTCGAAGGAATGCCAAGTACTACAACCATGCCAATTCCAGACGCACCACGACCACATTCCTCATATGTCTTCTCTGTTTCCAATCATATTAAAACATGTCAGTCCGACCTATCCCGTGGTCGGTCACGTGATTCCTTGTCAGATCCGGAACTAAATCGGATGTCACCATCAAATCCAAATGTTCGTTTACAGACATCATGCACAGATGACAAATCAGCAAAGATTTTTTTTGTTTCCTCGCAGCGAAACCGGGACTGTTTGTCTGCTTAAGTGATTCTTTTCTGCCAGATATAAATATGTCTGTTGTGCCAATGATTGATCAGGCGTTTCAGGGGTGCAGTAGTTTGAAAGTGGTGTTTGACGATGTTATCTCTTACAAATAAATCCTTTATCAGATATGAATGTATGTAATTGATTTGTTTCTTTGTATGATAACGTTTTAGTTGTAAAAGTTCCTGATCCCGGATCGTGGAGCCTTCCTATACAACTGTTCCTCTATTACCCTTGCTGTTCCTTTCTCCCGAGGCAACCGTTCTCATTCTCGCTGGTTGTGTTTCCTTAGACACCTATCAACATATGCCCTTGCTATTTGGAGTCTCACTAGACACCCATCATTATATGACCCTGCCTGTTGGCGTCTCCCTAACGACCGTTAACATGTGACCTTGTTTGCCAATGTCTCACTAGACACCAGTTGCCATATGCCCCTAGTTGCTGGTATATCATTGGTCACTATTACAAATATGACTATGGCTGTCCCAAGACACCATGGACACCCGTTTTCAAGTGACCCTCCCCTGCCTGTCGTTGCCTTCAAAGACACCAGTACCCATATAACCATGCTTTCCAAGACAACAGTCCCCATATGACCACAGCTGTGGGTGACTCCCTAGTCATCCGAACTCCGCGACATTTCTAACATAATTGATGCTTGGTACCAAGCAAATTTCTCAGCATACATTTTTGTTATTGCGATGTGTTTGATCTTCCTATTCTCGCCTTCCATTCCCCACGTAAAAGTGATATAGTGTTTTCTATGTTAAAAAAAGACCAATGAATGACCAACTGGAATATCATTGTAAAAGAAAAGAACACGAGAGTAACGTACCAAAATTAACATATCTACATGAATATTGTTTCACACTATTTGTTTTCAAAATCAAAATAATAACTTGATACCAGTAGTTCAAACAGAAAAGTTCAAACAGATAAGTTCAAACAGAAAAACAGAATCCCTTTAATTAGGTTGGTTATTCATTATTAGCCGGGTAATAAAACTGATTTATGAACTTTTTTAGTTAAGAAAATAAATAAATAAAGAAGAAAGTAAAAAAAAAAAACAAACAAAACTGATGGTGCTTTTTTCAGAATTAAACTGTAAATATTTGCTGCTACTGATAAAATACAATATTGTAAACCGTAAAGGATTTCAATGTTTGGTGATATAATACATTATTGTAAACCGTCAGGGATTTCAATGCTTGATGATAAAATACAATATTGTAAACCGTCAGGGATTTCAATGCTTGGTGATATAATACATTATTGTAACCGTCAGGGATTTCAATGCTTGGTGATATAATACATTATTGTAACCGTCAGGGATTTCAATGCTTTGTGATATAATACATTATTGTAACCGTCAGGGATTTCAATGCTTTGTGATATAATACATTATTGTAACCGTCAGGGATTTCAATGCTTTGTGATATAATACATTATTGTAACCGTCAGGGATTTCAATGCTTGGTGATATAATACATTATTGTAACCGTTAGGGATTTCAATGCTTTGTGATATAATACATTATTGTAACCGTTAGGGATTTCAATGCTTTGTGATATAATACATTATTGTAACCGTTAGGGATTTCAATGCTTTGTGATACACTATTGATACGTAGCTTTAGTTTACGAGATGTTATTTCTTTGCCTGGGACACTTTCGGGAGTAAGTGCTCATTTTGTAATTGAATGGTTATTGGTACAATAAATCATTACTGGTTTTTTTTTCAATCCTTTGATTTCCCCCTTCATATGACGTCACCAGAAGAGTTTTTGACACCCGTCCATCAATAAATAAAATTAAATAGTTAAGTATCGGATAATGAATCTCTATAGGTATGTATTCATTACGAGACAGGTTTTATGTCATATCTTAATTTTAATATCTATTGCTTGCGCGACAAACAAATATTGATTACTATTGATCACGCGCCGTGTTAAGCTGAGCAAATTACTTCCGGTATAACATGACAACATGGAATATAACTCGGCTACTTCCGGTTTCACAGTCTGTTCCGAATTGAGTGTATTGACACTGCAATCCTCATTGTTGAATCACACCGGATTACTAAAGATTCGTTAGCACAGCTCAATAATCTGAATAATATGGCTGGTATCGTAGTTATTGCTGTGTGATTTCATTCACATTGTTTCTACTTATTTTGTTTATAAAACATACTGGATGCCATTTGTTTAACAATGTATCCAGGTAGCGGGTGTTCTCGTAAAAACAGGAGGTGAAAATAAGTCAAACGGTTGGGCAATGCCGGTCCAGATGGTGAAACTAGTGGATAGCATTAGGGAAATCACAGACTCTAGTAACCGATTTACGACCCTGTGTCACACAGGATAGACATGTTCATTGTGTCTATAACATTTTAATTTCATCTTACTACTTTTAGTGTACATAGAAATAAACAACAGCCACAAAGGTTGAGCAATTCCTTACCGTCTCGTACCTTACATACGTCAGGGCCAGTACGTTTAACACTGGCCATTTATCTGATGAAGGTGACATCGTCACACTTATATTGTCTACTACTTAATCCTTTATTCTATTGACATTATCAATACTCGACATTTTTTTTTTTTTTTTAAATAAACCAATCAATTAATCATATTTCAGACCCATTACCAGTTAAAAGAGCATTAAACCAGAATTACGGTTAAATCGTCGGCATATGTAAATATTTACAAAAATAAGCGACTAATGCCAATGCTTTCCATATTTATTTACAGTGTAAATGTCATGAGTTAGGAATATATTCTGAAATCCTACTGTGATATCATAGACAGTCTATCAGGATTTCAAACAGTAATATATCCGTACAGGTATCTTATTTATAAATTAATCTTATGAATACCTTGGTATTTTATAATTCATTATAAATCATATCAAATCATAAATGCCTTTTTCATCTACAAAGCAATAATAAATATATAGAAATTCATATGAAATCAAATTAAAAACAATAAAGAACTATTTTTTTGCGCGTTGTAATTTCTAAGAGTGAGTGAAACGCCCTTTCAATCAAAGTTCAAAGTTCAACAACCAATCAAAAGACCGGACGGTCAAATGCTACTTGATGTATACAGACTTTTACAAATTTTATGTGAAAGCGGAATAACACAACATGATATTGTACTACTTTGTGTATCGTGACGAATTAAATGATCAATATTACTCTAGTGATGTTAATCAAAATATCCATGTCGGCTCCAATAACATTTGATATCTTCTCCACTGATTGATTAAACATCAGAAGAAAGTGGCAGTTGATATATCACAAGTTACGATGTTATTAAAGAGTAAACCGATCGATTTATGTGACTGATTTGTACAAACAAGCACATTAAAATAACTGAGCTAATGTTCGTGTACTCATTAGTGTGCAGTCGTGACTACATGACGTAATGTCACAGATTATAACAAGAAAAGGATTATGTCTGGCGTAAGCTCAGGTCCAAGATCTTCGTTAACCATCATAGACCTACTATAAATAGCTCATTTATAGATATTTTCAGATTACAAAACGTTGAGTGTCCCTTGTAATTATATTTCGATACAAATTTGGATTGTTATATTTAACATGAGCGCTATTTATGGGTTGATCTAGTGTGAGCAAAGTGAGAATGTTTAGAATCGGTCTATCAGGAAATGTGAAAACTCAGTCATGCAATGAAAGGATCGCATACAGCCTAGTTTACCTGCTTCCTATCGAGTAGTCGGAAGAAACGACTAAATAAGGACATTTTGTTTCTCTCTCCGGTCCTCAGTCTTTACATATTTTCTTGATAACGTGAAAATTGACAATACTTCTGTTTTTTGCCTTTGTGTTGCCCAATGAGGAACGCATTAGGCTCTGTCCACTGACCCATACTTGCCAACTTTCTCGATTTTGTCGGGAGTTTCCCGATTTTCACTCCCCATCCCGCCTTCCGATCGTATGGATCAAAATTGGGGTAATCTCCCGACCTCAGAGATCCCGCTATTTTTTTTCATTATGATAGTAAAGTAAAGCATGCACTTTATCAATTTAAAGTTATCTAGATGCTTTGATTAAATATACATGGATTAAATTTTCCTTTGTGATAGATTTCGCGACGCACAAGGTATCACTGCGAGTCAAAAATGTCGTTCATGCACTTTTCTCCGCCATGAGAATTTTGAAAAGTTGGTTCTCGAGATTCGAGAACGATAGTTAACTTCGGCCTTGTCTTATGTGATATGAACTGTGTTGCTACATGTAATAACTTGAACTTGAACTCTTTCTTGTTCTTGTTTTAGTATATATTTGTTCTTTTTACATTGTTTTTGCTCTCCCCCCCAACCCCCTTACCCCGGAAACCATTCTTCCTAATCGACTTCCTATCTGAAGCGTTCGAGAGGAGTCGACCACAAGGAAGCTCAACCTCTGAGGCTCTGCTAGACCTAGTTATAGGATACGTGTATGTTTATAATGCCACAAGGTAGGATTGCAGTTTATGATCGCCCACCTTTACATAAGCCGATCTACATAGACAGCGGGAGCTAATTAGACATATTGTATAGTACTCATATTTCATTGTCTACCGTGTCAGCAATACACGTGTGACACCGTCATCTATTTCAGGATAACTATATATTTATTTCCTTTTTGATGGAAACAGAACAGAGCAATTATATTAGAAACCAACCTAATGAAAAGATAATTTCCCCTCAGAACCTTGAAATTTGATTCACGTTATATCTGTTCTAGCCATGTTGAGTCGTACTCAACACCAAATTCTGGTCTGTGTCACCATGTCGAGTAGGTCTCAACACCAAATTCTGGTCTGTGTCGCCATGTCGAGTAGGTCTCAACACCAAATTCTGGTCTGTGTCGCCATGTCGAGTAGGTCTCAACACCGATTTCTGGTTTGTGTCGCCATGTCGAGTAGGTCTGAACACCAAATTCTGGTCTGTGTCGCCATGTCGAGTAGGTCTCAACACCGATTTCTGGTTTGT